GTAAATTCATTAGCTCCTGGTAATTGTTGTCTTTTCCTTTGTGGTTTTGTAACTTATTTACTAACATTCTCTAAATTTTATGCTTAATTAACTCAATACATTTTGAAAATAATAATAAAATAAATAATAATAAATTTTCTAATAAATAATTAGAAAATTATTCAGTATTATTTGTTTCACTCTAAATATAGCTTTGGTCCCATTCTATCTTTCCTATGGATTTTCTTTATTTTTAGTAGCTTCCTAATAAGCATATTGTAGTTTTTACAACCACTTGAACACAGAAATCACTTAGATAGTGTTTTTAAGTATTTTTCAATTAGTTTATCTTTGCTTAAGTTATTGTACTTTTCAACTATTATTACCAATGTCTAGTATTACACTATTGGGATAAGAGCTAATAACCTATTCTGTTTTCTTCTTGAGAAAGCTTAGTACAAATTTATTGGTGACTTGCTACATTAGTGTAACTATTATTACCCATAAGCCTTGAGGTCAGGCCTTCAATATCTTGGGGGAGAACATCAACACACACACACACACAAACCTTGTTTATTTCTCCATATTTTGAAGGGAAGTACAGGCTCATCCAAGGTTGGATTTTTTGACTCTGCAAATCATGTCTTTGTTGACCCCCCTCACCTCCCTATGAACACCTGCATTCTGTGGCTGGTCAGAGGCAGGTGGTAAAGTTTTAGTTTGCCAGAATGAAGGGTGACTTACTTTACAAACTGTGTCCCCTGTTTGGAGAGGCCCCTTGCCATCCCTAAGAGGATGAGTGGAAGAGATTCTCTGCTACTGTTCTTTCCATGTGAGATAGTGCCTTTCTTGGGTGCCAATTTGATCAAATTGAATAATAGAATAACAGTTCAGTACCACACAAACGTGGAAAGTCATTATTTAAAACAATTTGGTGAATTATAACAAGATGATAATATCTAACTGTAAAACTTATATCATTTCAGGTGCTTTTCAATCCTTTCAATAAGAACAACTTTTGCTTCTTACAGTTGTGTCCTTTGGGGAATTTGCCAAAGTATTTATTCATCTATGATTTCATGCAACTTTTTCAAACCATTATAGACTGTAAGGATCTGTATGAATTGGCAGCTAAAATACTAAGCATCAGATAACAGATGAAATATTAAGGACTGAGGGAATAAATTTTGTGCTTGACTTCATAAATGGAACAGAACTGGTAAAAGAGCCTGAGTTTGGCCTGCAGCTTCTGGAGTTAGCCCTTTGAAAGAGCCCAGGCCCACCTGACCCCACCAAGTCTGCTTAGGCTATGCACCCCCTGTCCAGATCTGCCCTAGTTACTCCACGTTTTCCTTTCGACAGCACTGCCATGACGGTTCCCTGCTCCATTGTGGTTTCTCTCTCCTCAGCTAGACTGTGGGCCTCACTGAGGATGTCTGCTCTCCCTGGGTATCTAGTCTAGAGTCTCCTTAGAAAACAATCTCGGTGAATGGACAGAATGATTCACAGAGACAAACGTGCACAGAAAATGAGTGGCTTGGTGGAAAGCCTGGTCACCATGAGTAGACCATCTGAGAGCTCTCAGACCCATTCCTTAGGCGGTGTAGGCCAGGAAGACTTGGAGGGCACTTTAGCCATTTCTGTATAAAAAAGCAGTCCCCCAAATTGATAGCATGTAGCAGTCAGCCCTTTGTTTTCACCATGAGTCCGATGTGAGTGGCCCTGGGTTTGCTTCTCATCTGTGATCAGCTGAGGCTGGTGTAGGTTGGGCTCGCCTGGACAACTGGTCTTCAAGCTGGTACAGAGCCTTGGATGGCTCTTAGAGTCTCATTCTTAGTGCAGATTTGTTTTAGTCAGCTGTTTTTCATTGCTGTGACTAAAAGACTCCACTAAAACAATTTTAGAGGAGGAGAAGTTTATCTGGGGGCTCATGGTTTCAGAGATCTCAAACCATAGACAGCAGACTCCATTCTTCGGGGCTTCAGGTGAGGCAGAACATTATAGTGGAAGGGTGTGGTGGAGGGAAGCAGCTCACATGATGATAGAGAGAGAGACTCCACCTGCCAGATACAAAATATGTCCCCAAATGCATGCCCCCAGAGATCTCCAGCCACACCCTTCCTGCCTTCAGTTGCCACTATTCATCCTGTCAGGGGATTAATTCATTAACTGGGTTAAGGCTCTCATCACCCAATCATTTTTCCTCTAAACCTTCCTGCATCGTCTCACACATGAGCTTTTCGGACACCTGATATCTAAACCATAACAAGTTGAAGTAATATAACCACCTGCTGAAGAGTGGGGGGTGGACAATGCTGTAGAAGCCCAGGGGAAGGCCCATTCCACCAGCATATTTCAAATCTCTGTTTCCAGAACATCTTACAGCCCATTAGCAAAGGCAAGTCAGGTGGCCACTACTGATGTCAAAGGGAAACGCACTGTCCTGTGTGGGAGAAACCACAAAATTGCACAGCAAAAGGTGTGGACACAGGAAAGAGTGAAAGAGTCAATAATCCACTCAACCAACAGAAATATTTTCAGGCCCAGACCAAAAAAGAGACTCCAATGATAGTTACATCATATGTCTATAAAATGAGAAACTTAACTGTAATGAAATGAACCAAAGGAGGAAATGCAGAGAGGTGTCTGGGGAGGAGGAGAAAAGTCGTCATCATCTTCATCATATCAATATTAGGCCTTTAAACTGAATTGAGACTCCAGTGAGGACAGCCTGTCCCCATATTCCATGTTCGGGCAATCCTGAATTCCTTGAGATATCAGGAGAACACCGTGCTCCGATCCCTGGATGCTTCCTATGCGCCGCTGTGTCTTCCTAGGATACCCTCTGATTCCTCAGTCTCCAAGTCCTCATTTAACTAGCTCCTATCTATTCTTCCACACATTCTCCTAAAGGAAGCCTTCTTCAACTTTAAAAATTGCTCTTGGTACCCAATTCTTTATGCATCTGCAGCATTCTGTACAGATCCTAGAACCTTCTACTCATTGTCTGTGTACATACTCCAGACCGTGTCTTTGGGACCATAATGTCCAGACTTTAATTTCCTCCCTTTCCTCAGGTCTTAAGGTACTCCATACACAGTGAATAGGCATTGACTGAGTGAGCAAATACCCTGAACCAGCTTCAGAACTTATGGGATCAAAAGATGCTAAAGGAAAATGTAGGAGAAATGTGTGGGTCATTTTTTTTTTTTTGGCACTGGCTTTTTGATTTTTGTTTTCAATACCAA